TTTAAACAAATCTTCAAACTCGTAAAAAACAGTTGGAGGTAATTTTGGCTATCCTATATTTGTGTTTATGATATTTACCAAAATGTATGGATACGAAAAAAGGCAATAAGACTGTATAATTACAATTCATACCTATGTTTGCATACAGCTAAAGATGATATTCAGACAAATGACAGAATACAGACGATGCACCATGAGTTGCACATTTTAATGCAACAGTCCAGCAATAAAGCTTATCATTGTGAAGTTTATGATGTTTCATTTTTATCGGCTTGACGTGAGATACATTGATGAAATTGGTTTGAGGCCAAATAATTCTGTAGGTTGTTAATAAGTTGTTAATGTCTATTATTTATATTTTATTGTGTGGGATTGTCCAAATTATTTTTTCTGTTAGTTCATCATATTACTTTCCTTTCATTTAAAATAAAAACACAAGAAGAAACCTTCCCCCAAAAGTGCAATTACACATTACCAAATCCAAATTACATTTAGATACATTTATACTGATGCCATCAACAGTAAGTTACTATTTCATTACGTTTTTATTGTCTATTGTCTATTGTCCAACTCTATCTCCATCTCTTATCATGGCACTCACTATAAAATCATTAAATAGAGAAAGAGACAGCCAGGCTCAAATGTTGCATAATTTACATACAAAATTGCTTATTTGTCAATTGTCAAAGACAGCGAAGCTTTGTCATTCACTGACATTCATATTTAATTATGTCTCTGCACATTTACAATAAAATGTCATCACCATAGACAGGAAAGGATTTAAAGTAAAGTGGCCAGCAGATGTCACTTTAGACCTGCATTTGAATCACTTCAGAGAGAGAAGTTTATTGAGATCTTTGTCTGTGTCTGCTTTTTTGTTTTATTCTGAGGTACTTTAAAACATTGATAAACCTATATTTTTCCTCTTCATTCATTTCTAATCTTGGTATTTTTGTCTTGAGGACCCTGTGTCTGGAAAACTACTTTCAACATGACAAAATGGGAGGCTATATTTTTTTATTGTCTGTGGGTGATTTAGGTCTGTCTTGTTGGTAATCTTTTAAAATAAAATAAAACGTCTTCAGTGTCTGACAGTGTTCTCTGACACTTTCCTAATGTGGATTGATTATATTATTTATAATTACTGACTTATTTTACTGACTGAAACATCTGACAAAGCTGGATCAACTGAGTAAATTGTTATAGCGGATTCACAGCTCCAGGCATTACTGGCAGCTTCTTTATTTTCACAATAAAAGCTGTGACTCAGACAATAAGCATGACTATATACCGACTTAACACCTGCAATCCTGTCAAACATCCTCTCATCCCTGTTTGGTATTGCTCGGTTTTATGTGAAACTGTTAAGTGTTTTTCTTTTATTGGTTAAGAACGCAAAGACCTCGACCTTGACCTCTAAGACGTGGTAGTCCCTGTCCTTTTTGTCTCATTAAGAGTAAATGTATAACACGATTTTAACGAGCCTTGATTGTATTGTTGAGTCAGGAGATAAAGTTCAGATGTGAAAAGTAGACACAGTGTTTGTCTCTCAGTCAATTCTTTGATGAACATGCATCAGAACAAAACTGTTTATTCTGTTGTTGTTTGAGAGATATGTCTCTGAAACCTGAACTGACTTTTACATCTGTAGGTCTAAAAGCATCAACTTAGGAATAATGAAAGTTCTTATTCTTTTAAAAGAGAAACTATTTTTCTCGAATTAAGCTAGATTGATATTTCTAAGGGTGTTCGAGGTCAGTTACAAAGGAGTGGATTGGTTCAGTGTAGAGACACAGCATGTGGACAAAAATGACAAATATACTTGGGCAGAATATATGCATTCATTATACATTAGCTACACCAACAGCACATTTAATGCATATCCTGCCATGTGTTGGAAACGGTTGCCGGCAATTTCAATTCACTGCCGTCAAATTATGTCCTTTAACTCTGAAATCACGGCTCACAGTTTTTCTGTTCCCAGTGGGGTCCCCACATTGAGCTTACAAGCTTGGTCTGGGAACAAAAGTATTTTTATTGCAATGACATGAAAAAGAAAACAGGTGATGGAGTCTTAAAACCTCACTTCTGCACCACAGGGTCAGGTAGCCTCTCAGTATGACAAGTAACCACCACAAAAGAATCACCTCAGGTCTCACTGTTGAAGATCTCATGGATTCCACTGCCATTATCAATGATTAAATACATGACAAACATAGTTACAGTTGACAATATCACTTATCAACATGTTATATCTCTTGTTTGAAAACTACACATCGTGATTGTAATGGGGATTACTTCTCGACACAGCCTGCCTAGATGTTTCCCTTTGATTCCAGTCATTATGCTTTATGCTGGCTCTAATGTATTGGTCCCCAAACTGTCAGCATGAAATAAAATAACTGCTTTTCCTATGATGTTCAGTCTTTCCCCTAACAACGTCTAACATAATCTTAAATGAAATATTAGGCCTACGGAAATGGATATTTGCGGAGAGGTGCGACGTCTTCAAGGCCTTGTTTGGTGAAGTCGAGAAGCCAGTTACTTTTGGACACTACTTGCAGCACTGTCAAGAGATAAAAAGTATTAGTGGGTTCACTTTGTATTGAGGCATGAGTCGATCACTGAGTCATAAGTCTGTGTGTTTTGTTTGTTACCTTTGTGATTTTGCTCCATCGTGAAGCCAGGGCAAGAATGGCGGTGAGGCACACCACCACCACCCCCGCTATTATGGGCATCAGAGGGAACTTAATGACCTTGTCTGCAGATGAGGAATCATCAGAAGATCATCAGCCCACTTTTGGTTGAGTTCATCATTTCTGTAAAATTACTTCATTACTGACTGTGCGAACTGACCTGTTACTGTGACACTGAAGAGCTTCCTCTGCTCTCCATAGAGGGGAGAATATGTCAGGCACGAATAATTGCCTTTGTGTAGGCTTTTCACCACGCTGTTGGCAATCAGTTGGCTTGTAACGCCGTCATTGGTCAACATGAAGCCGCTTGCTAATAGATCCACTGTGCTTCCATTTACTGTCCACACCACGGATGAGACTTGTGGATTGGCCAGGATGTCACACTGCAGGACGAGCACTGACTCCTCTTCTACGACGAGCTCCTCTAACCCCATGAGCGGCGGGTGATCTGAAGAGGAACATAACAGAGAAAAGGTAAATACAGATAAAGTGCGGTTTTCAAAAACACTTTTGATTTTTGTTTTTGTATTGTCATATAGCTTGGTTTGCCATCAAATATTGACATTGAACACTTACGTCTTTCCAACATTTTATGGCAATCCATCCAACTGTGCTGAGATATTTACTCAAAAACACAAAGTGGTGCACTGACCAACATGGTCACAGTGGCTGACTTAGGATTTTTATAATTCAGGAGCCATAAAGGGACAATGACTTAAACAGAGGGACCAATTATATGTCCAACATCCATGCACAGCTCCTGATTCAGTAAGATGCACATGAATACATTCCTTATTTACTGTTCGCTCTATAGCTTTGAGCAAAGCCACAAATATTTGGAAAATTGTTCAAGCACATTTTGTATTTCAAATAAAAGTAAAAAAAATAAATACAATTCTTAACAAATTGTCATAAAAATGGTTTGTAATGTACGTAAGTGACTAGTTTTTTTTTTTTTTCAGGGGCTAATCAGATGTCAGCTGGCGTCGGTGCCCCCCTGGTCCCACCCCTGGAACCTCCCCTGCATTGTCATCCATTGCATGGCAACAAATCAGTAAACCAAAAATAATGGAATCAATATTAATCCCAGCATTTATCTGAAGGGACTCACATGTGACGTTCAGGGTGACTGAGGCACTATTGGAGGCATTGCTGCTCAGGTGGCAGGTGAATGTGGCACCATCATCTTCTTGGATGACAGGTGTCACGCATACTCGACTGGGACTCTTCTTATTTTCTTCCATCAGGCTGACCATGACGCCATTCCTCAGCCACACCAGCTCTTCATCGGGCTCAGTCTCTGAGCTGCTGTCAGACAGGCAGAGCAGAGACACAGTTCTCTCCAGCTCAGTCTGAATCACACCCTCAATGCTGACCTCTGATGCAGACTGAATCCTGACGCCTTGATGTGATGAAAGTTTAAAGGGTCATTACGTGAAGCAGTAAAAACTCAATTTATACAGAAGGACTGAGAATCATTTAAATGAGTCAGATTAATTGGAGGTGACCTGAATCACAAATCAGAAACAGTTACCTAATGTCTGGGTTGCACAGAGGAGGAGCAAATGGAAAAGATGGGTTGTGAACATCAGCTTCATTTTACTGTTGTGTGGATGAACCTGTTAATAAAGCATGGATTAACAGAAAAAGCTTTCATACAGATTTTATGTCAAATTCTCAATACCTCCACCAAGAAAAATGTTTTCACCCCTGCCTGTTTGTGTGTTGGTTGGTTGGTTGGTTGGTAAGCAAGATTAGGCAAAAACTACTTGATGGATTTACACCCAACATGTAGTATGGGTGAGGAAAAGTTTGGTGCAGATAAATTCTATTTCACGTTCTTTAACATTGCAAGATTTTTTTTTCAACATGATCAGCGAATTTTCCCATGGAATACATTTTCTTTCATCTGTCTTCAGACAGTAAATTTCTCTTTCAGCTTATCAAAGTTGAGCCAAACCTTAATTGTGTGCATTCTTTTTATACAATCTATTAGGTTTACAGAAAATAAAATAACTAATATGGAATGTATTACAACAGATATACCAAGATTATGACCCGGCAGTTAAAAATCACTGTATATGTGACAATCCTTGTCATCTAGATTTTTGTGCAGATACTCATCATTAAACAACATTTTGACGGAGCTGAGATAATTTACATTTATATTACTGTCAGGCATTTTGGTGCAATTCTAATCATTAAGTGTGTAAATTAAATTCTTGTTGGATTATATTCTCCCTAGTGTTTCACGTAATTCAGACATTTAGAGAAACAGTCTGTTGTTCTACAAAGACAGTTTATATTCTACTGACTGGTACTTATAACTGAGAGATAAAATAAAACTAACAGGTGTTTACTTAAAGATATCCTTAGAGTAACTTGTTCCTCTTTAAGAAGTTATATTTAACTTCCAATGGGCCAAGACTCTGGGCCCATAAATGTATTACATTCATAAAAATACACTATAAAAAGTCCCTATAAAACTAATGATATATGACACCTTATTTGTATCTATATAAAAAGATTATAAATTTTTTCTTACCCGACAGTGAAAATTATTCCTAATTCTTGTCTGCGTTTTTTGCCTGATGTCCCCTCAGTGTGAATATAAGGATGTGGAGGACTTTATCAGTCTTCAGCAGCGCTTATATGCTTCACAAGTCGATGAGGACACTTTTATAACTTCCCTAGCTCATTGCTAAATGGCTTTCTCATCATTCCAGTTGCCGGTTCCAGTCAACACCCTATCAATCTTACCACATCCCATCTCTCTCTCCCTTTCTCAGTTTAATGTGTAAACACAAGGAATGTTTTTTATTGGCTGTAGTCATAATAATGGCACTATAATGTCTTGGTTGTGGATGAAAGGATTTAAATACATGTTTTATCTTTGCTTTCAGGAGTTAAATGTTGCATTGTTATTTTTGGTTTAAATTATATAATTTCAAGTGGTTTTTAATTTACATTTTATATTTAGAGTTTTTATTTAATTTAACTAAAGATAATTAGATTCGATGCCGCAACGCAAAATTATGATCTAAAGCCAGATAAAGACCCATGTCAATATTGGTAGAATTGTGGTATTAAGAAATACATTAAATAATACACTGTCCTCTGATAGTCCGCTGGTTCAGATATTTATGCCTCAAGTGACATGGATGCAATATCTTATATGTTTAACTTTACCCTATAAACATAAGGTTGAGAAGATGCATGCCTCATAATATGGTTTGAATCCACCACAAACACACAGTATACTATATGTATATTTCTTCTCACATACATACTAGGCACACAAACAAGCGTATATACCCTATACTCCACACTGACGCACCCCATTACTTCATATACCCACATACTCACACATACATACTGAAGTTATGCATGCACATATTTGTTTGTAAATGCATGTATGCATGTGCAAGCAGTTTGTAATGGTATGTTTTTTATGTACAACATTTGCAAGTAAAGTATTCAGTCCTAATTTCCCTTTGGGGATGAATAAAGGATTTCTATCTATCTATCTTGTACTTGTATAATAAAGTAACTACACTCACCACATTGTGTTTTTTTTAATTTGCTCCTGAATCCATTTGACACCGCCTGGGTTACAACTCTTAGAATAAGGTTTAAATAGTCATAGGAATACATCAGAGCAAATTTAATGCATTATAAAAATATAATTACATTCAGATCTGCTCATGTCGTTATAATGGGGCAGTGATATCAAAAGCCTATTATCTATAAGGCATCCACATGGTCAGTAATTCATTAATTTACCTTCCAGCTGCAGCTGATGCTTTCAGACTTTAGATTATATCTGTTTGTCTAATGTTGAAGTTTATTCTTCGTTCGTAAACCACGCTGCTCTGCTGTTAGTAGACTAGTGTTGATGCCTGGGATTGGTCTTATGCTGCAAACACCGCCCCCTATATGTGAATGTAGGGGATTGTGGTTTTTTGGCTTGTTTGTTTTAATGAAGCCAGGAAATGATATTTGGCCTTAAAGCCCACTGGGACATTGATTTGCCTCCTGACCAAAACCAAAGCTCAAATTACAGATCAGCTCTGTCCCCTTCTGCATCATCACAGCAGCTGTCAACACTGTGGGCTGAAAAACTGTCAGACACTGTCTCACTCTGGCCAAATGTGGAATAAACAGCTGTGTTTTTGGCAGCGGGATATTACCAAACCTTATTACCATCAAAAGTTTTCCTGCAGAGCAAAGGAGTGTGCTGCCTCACACAGATATGATCACTGATCATTAGGAATAAAGTGACTATGTAACGGCCATCCCTCTCTTGCCCACTAGAGAGAGACGTTGATGAAGTGAAAAAGGTTTCTTCAGCTGCAATCCCTTAAAGGTTCAGTGGGTAAAATGTTGGTGAAAGGGAGCTATTGGCATAAATTGAATATGTTTTCACTGGTGTGTAATCATCTAAATTGTACAAACTGTTTTCTTCTTTACCTTACAATGGGCCCATTATATTTAAATATTTGTTTATTATTATTTTTTTACAGTTGTCTAAACTGGACAAATTAAACACCTTTTGAGCTTTTATGACAACTGAAGGCTACCACAGGTTCTCTGTCATGTTTGGAAGGAGAGGGTGAGGTGAGGGGTGTTCAACATGCAACTTCACCACTAGATATCACCAAATTCTACACAATGAACCTTTAATGAGTTTCACAAGTTATGATTTTAATCATTCATGCTTCAGTGTATCTCAGTGTGATGTATATTCACACCCTTTATTTCATTCATTTAGTTATTTAATATTTGCTGTATGTGTTGTTTGTACAAGTGACCCCGTGTAAGAATACAGCAGGGGAACGTCTGGGAAATTCACCGCAAGAAAGTGGGCACGTTGATGACTTTGTGACAGAACTGAAAAAGAGGTGCATTAAAATTGAAGACATGGACTTGGAAAGACTTGGAGATGAGAGAGCTTTTGACGATAAGGGCAGATGCCAGTGTCGATATGCATATAATAAATGATGAACATTGGAAGCACTGGATTCTTTTAAAGGTTTGTTAGTAATAGTCAGCCTTTGACAGCTTCTTCTACCTGCTCTTTAAAAAAAATCAGTGGGATCAAAGATTAAAGGTTAGCAGCTATTGCAGCACATGCAGGAAGAATGTGTTCCCTGTGACATTGCACAATTGTTGAGCTAGTAGCCCCCCCTCCTCCTCCTTCACACACCTAAAGTGTCTTCAGCTTTACTATCTACCCTGATTGCTGCTTGTGTCGTCTCTTATGCTAAAGGTCAACAAGTGTTTTATTGTATTGTCTTTGCAACTAAATTAGACTGACAGGGAATTTGACAATGATGCTTTTACAATTTATAAAGTATCTTGCACTTCCTGGTCCTGACATTTTTTTGATAAGCTACAGCGTAGTACATTGTAGATAAATGAATAAAGGTCTAAGTTACTGAGCTCCATGTCGGTGGTCAAAGTACACTGAGAGGCAGATATGATCAGTGGGTACTGCATGTGCACACACAAACACAACAATGTAACTATAAAACCTGTAAGTATTAATCAAAGCCTTTATAGTGTTTATGCCAGAGCTGCTTGCGTACAGCGTGCGAACAGGCATTCCTCCTCAGATTACTGCTGAGCCCTGCTCACACATGCATACACACACACACACACACACACACACACACACACACACACACAAACACACACGACTTTGCATTGACTTTCATTGCTGTGGAGAGCCTAACCAAAACCTTATCCTTCACCTTAACCATCACCAGATCCCTAACCTTAATCATCTAAAACATCTGACCCTCACCCAACAAGGACTTCAGAAATTATATTTTTGCCTCATTAGGACCAGACATTGGTGCCCGTGGGGTGTAATGGTCCTTACAAGCAATCTTGAAAAAAAGGTCCTAAAGAAGTTATCACTCTCACTCATTCATTCATTCATTCACTCATTCACTCATTCACTCATTCACTCACTCACTCACTCACTCACTCACTCACTCACTCACTCACACACTCACTCACTCGCTTGTATATCAACAAACATCCATCCTGCATTAACCCCTCTTTTTCTTCCATAGCTCCCTCCTGTATTAATTTCCTCAACTCCCTCCTCCCCCTAACCATACTGTTTAATCAATAACATCGAAGAAGTGCATGTTTTGTGTTTCTAAACCCAGATAGACGACTGACCCTCTTACTCTTGCCTGCCCCCTCCTTCCCTCCCTCCCTCCCTCCCCCTGTCCTGTAGGTTTTCTACCTTCTCTCTTGCATCTGTCTTCTTTCTCTGTGATTGAATGGAGAAGCTGGGTTCCCCAGAACCTGCACCACCCTCACTGGGTCCAGAGCCCGTCGCTGGGCTTTCTGCTGCCAAGGCAGCAGAGGCTGAGGGAGAGGAGGCTGTGGCAGCAGTCAGTTCCAAACTGTCTCAGTGTGCATGGTTGAGAAGGTGGCTACCACTGGCCTACAGATTGGAACTCTACCAAGTCTTAAAGCTCTCGGGCCCACTGGTGAGTAGGGGAAAGTTGAAGCGCTGGTGGGGGGTTGGTATGTTAGTGAATTAACTGTACTACAACTGTATTTGTTGCAGAGAAAGTGTTGAAAGTGAACTGTTACAGAATAAAATCAAATTAATCATTCAACAAGTCTGTAATGGATATGCAGTGTTCAAAAGCTGAAATAACATGGTTTCTATTCTGCATGTTTGTGCAAAACAGTCAGAGCTGATTGCACAACACTGTTCTTTACGCTAACAGATAAGCTGAACACAGTTATCGCAATACTTTGGTGCTTTGATCAGCTTCCCCTGATCAAAGATGTGCTGTTTGGAACCAATCACTGTTTGTTTCAACAGCTGCTGTCTCGGATACTCAGTTTCCTCCTGTCGTTTGTCATCACCATATTCTGTGGTCACATTGGCAATGCAGAACTGGCAGGATTTGCACTGGCTTCAGCGGTACGACCTATAATCTTTGTTGCATATAGACCACTTGTACTTATAAATTCTTCTTCATATAATACTACTACTTCTACTTCTCTTGCTGCCATTGATGTTGCTACAATTTCTTCTACTGCTCACAATATAGGGATATCATGAGCATCTGTATACCTGTGTATTCCTGTAGGGCAATGGACATACTATCAGTTGCTATTAATATTAACCTGAGATCATAGGTCTTCAATAACTGATATGATGTGGTGTCTGTATCTCATCATACATATACAATACTATACGTAGAATATACTAACACAATATTATATTAAATATTTTAAAAAAGTCACATTAACACCTTCCATGTCACATAGGGTACAGACTCGAAAAACAGTAACTAACTGTTACACAATAGATGCACAAGCAGAAAAAAAGTATTTTAACTCAGCACTCATTTTCGCACTTAAACCTGTAAATAATATAAAAAATGTATTCAAACCTCCCCTCAGAAGTCCAGCCACCTTTCAGCCGACACACAGGCTGAGGCAGTGGTTGTAGAGAGCAGTAAACTCAAACGTAAAGGAGGTATATAGTTTTACTGGGTAACTGATTGCTAAGAAGCATCTTAGCCATCTTCAAGCTGTAAATCTAATGTGACTGCAAGGTTACAGTTTGGTACATACATCGATGTCAGTGTGTTTGATTGTTGGATTTGTTCCTGTTCCTCGCAGCATTGGACCTCACAATTCATGGCCACTATTTTACATGTTATTTTCTCCAATTGTCACTTATACTTTTAATGGTAGTTTCTCTTAAGATTAAGGTTTTTTTTTTATTGAGATGGAAATTTCTCTTTTGCAAGACCCAAGACTGGCAGCAGAAACATGTTGAGCAAAAGGGCATAACAAGAATATAATTTAACCTTGTTTGGTCGGGACTGGCAGATGTTTTAGGTCAGTTGGAACAAAAATAATAAGAGTGAAAGGTTCCTTGGACAACGGTCCCGACCAAAATTTAATCTGGGCAAAAGAGTCTGGACTTTCAGACAATTTGCAGTTGAGATAGATTCAAATAAAGCATTTCCCAGGATTATATCCAATATACTGTATAAAGGACAAACAAGGACTTTCATTTGGCACATTTAAACTAATGTTGAGTACTGTGCCTGACTTTGGTGATGCTTGTAGTAATTCTATAATTAGACACAGACAAACCAATCAAGTCAAGCATAAGTCAAAGCAACCCACATAGATGATAATGACAGAATGTAGGTATGTCACACACAGTCTTTTGTCCGGCTGCTAAATTGGAATGGAAAACCAAAGACAATGTATCCAAACCTTGGTTGGGACCTTGTTTGGGACTCTCTGGTGTGAAAGACCCTAAAACCACACATTAATGATGCACATGGACTTTGTCAGCACCAGTTTAGTTGTCCCTCTTGGTCTTTCTTTGGCAAACTACACCACATGAACTATTTTCTCCAGAAGCTCTTTTACATTGGCTGTCTTCCATTCGGCACTGGGAAGATGGCATAACCTTTGCTTGAGTGAGCATTTGTGTTAGTGGTGGGTGCCCACAGTTCGCATGAGGGAATTGTGAGAGCAGAACAAAACTACAGTGGGGTCCAAATGTCTGAGACCTATGGAACCCACCTTAAAATCAAATCAGTGCATTGAAATTGCAACAAGCTGCAGTCTGGGGATGTTGACTCCCAGCTGAATGGAGTGTATCAACCCTTCCACATTAAAGGTGCAAATTTAACCACATACTGCCTGACTGAGCAGACCAACAATAAGAGTAACACATGCAGCAGATTAAACTAACAGACAGGTTGGCAACCACAGTTCGTCTGTACACTGTCTGCTGAACCTGTGCTTGACTGAAGCTTAACAACCATCCAGTCTATACAGAACAATCAAATCATGTGTGGCTATCTGAGCTTATCGCATAACAAGCCATTGTACTTATAATGTGGAACAAATTATGCAATTTCCCCCCGGGTGTCTGCGTGTAACTGAGCCACCTTTGACTTTGACAAGCTGTTTATTCTCCAGGGTATGTAAGTTATGTACAGGGAAAGAGTCATTTCAGTAATCTACTTTCCATGGTTCTGAGGTATTTTATGTCTTATTAGAGATTTGAGTCACAGACAGAAAAGGTTGTGAGAAATGAAAATGTAATATTGTTCTAAATGTGGGAGGTTGTGATTTATAAAGCTGCTAAACCCCTACACCACCACATGACTGCAAAAGTTGTTATTATCTATCCCTTGGCAACATTCAGCTTCAGAGCATAGTGAGCTGAGCAGGAGGGGTGTACAGTTTGCATAACATCTGTAGACAAGCTCTGATTTACCGGCTGGTCACTGTCTACAGTAGAACTCAAAGTCTGAACCATGTTCTCTGATGTTCTTATGACAGACATGCCTGAATCCTGCAGAAGATGATATAGTGGAGTGTCTCTTACTTTCAACTAGCTGTAAACTCTTATGTGGTCAGGTGCTGGACCAATTGGCGTGTGACGAATGGCAAATACAGCTGATTCAGACTGATAGTCGATAAAAGCTTCCTCCTGAACTTCCCAGAGCGTGGCTTCCATGTCCACTTGTGAGATCATGATGGACTGAGATCAGACAGTGCAGTGAATAAGCAAGCCAAAAAGCCCTGTATGCAGGGGCAGAACCAGGGGTGAGGCCAGGGGGGGACTGGCACCAGTTAAAATCTGATTGGCTCTTTAACTCACTTTCTAACAATACTAACAATACATTTTTTTCTAAGCTTTTTTGAAGAAAACAACATGCTTGAAAAAGGAAAAAAAATTTGTTTAAATCGAGTTAACCATCAACAATGAATGGCTTAAATGTGCAGCTTACTGAATCAGGAATTGTGAATGGATGACATAATATTGGCCATTCTGTGTGTAGCCCCTGTTTTAGAAAAACCCTAGACCTGCTACTGCCTGTCCATACACTGCTTCAAAGCTTGTGCTCAGCCAGGAAAATACTAAATATACAGCCAAGAAAAAAAAAACTCCTCAACATACACAACGCTTTGCTGGAAAAGTATCTCCCATCATCAAAATGAACCCCATCATATGTCAGAGTAGGTAAAAACATAATGGGCAGAAAGAGTATCTTCCTGCTCGTGGTTTTGCTTTTATAACAGCTTATCACAATCATGCACAGCTTTAGCCCTGTGTCTGCACTTGCTGTATAGGATTGATGTGTGTGAACATAGTGCCTGCTGGACTACTTTGTCTGGAATCCTTCATAAGTTGCAGAAACAGCTGAGGTGTAAAAAAGCAGAGTGTCTAGACATTACATAAATGTATGTATAACTCAAAGTTACAGACATGGACAAAAAAGAAGAATGAACAAATCGATTTTTACAACCAAAACCTAATGTGCAGTTTTTATTTGTGTCTGATTCAGACCATTAATGTGACCACCACTTCAACAGGCTATGGCCTTGCCGTGGCTTGTGACACGCTGATTTCTCAGGTGAGCACCACATTAGCTGCACCTTATTATGTTTTGTGGTGTATTTGAACATATGCAATCAAAAACAATTGGGGTTTGTACTTTGCAGACATTTGGAGGCAAGAACATGAAACGTGTGGGAGTAATCCTACAGAGGAGTTCACTCATCCTGTTGCTGTTTTGTTTGCCTTGCTGGGCTCTTCTCATCAATTCTCACAACTTACTACTCATCATGCACCAAGAGGCGGAAGTGGTGAGGTACACTGAACACATCGTCTTCATAATTCATTGAGGGCAAAATGTTGTTTGTTTAAGGTTAAAAAACCCATCATTACCTTAATCTTTAGTGCCCTGACTGTTATTAGCTAATTGACTGTTTCCCTGACATCTAGGTTATTTCAGGTTAGTGTTTACAGAGGCATGTGTTTGGATATGTATAAGTTCAGCTTTGTATCGGCATTTATAAATATATATATATATATTACATTGTGTATTCCCTACATTTAATGTGAATATTACATATATTATTTATGTCACTGTATGTATTTCATATTGAGGGACTAAGTAAGTTAGACGCATAGCTTTGATAAAGACTTGTTGACTTATTGGCAAAGTTTTCATTGCACTAAATATATGTTGCACCATTTTCCTTCAGAATTGCCCAGCTCTACGTGATGGCCTTTCTACCAGCTGTTCCAGTAAGTGCACTAAACTAAACCCCCCCCGAAAATCCAAGGGGATCATAACTTCTATTGCCGAATTCAATACATGTTGTATAATGTTATATTTCTGCCGTTACTTGAGCCACAGTTCAACAATAACCTGAATTTAAAACATGTTTTGGACTTTGCATAACGGGGGTGAAGCAGCTAAACAGAAATATCTTTGGAACTGCTGCATAAATACAGAAACACAAAATAATGGCATGACAAAATTTGAATCCTGTTGAATTCAATTACCTCTAAAAGCAATAAGGGAAAAATGTGAGCAACTGTATTTCTGCAATGCAAGGCATAGAAACAGCTAGGTAGATAGAGATAAGTCTATTGAGTCCGTTTGATTCTTGTAATCCAATGAAGTTGTATGAATGCCAGAGTGATTCAAAATCAACACGAGTAATCCATCATGTTGTAGTTATTCCAATTACTGCCTTTATTTGACCCAGATAATCTAGTAAAAGTCAGGTGGTGTAATTGGAATATTCCCCATTAATATTTTCATCACATTATTAGCATGTTAACCCGATTTACACACAACACATCAATTATTGCACATGTATACAGTCGTGGTATCTGAGAGTTGTACTACTTCTTTTCTGTAAACTGTTCTCTTTGTGTCTCCCTGCTACAGGCCATGTTACTGTATCACCTGCAGGTTGCCTACCTACAAAACCAAGTAAGTCCACGAAACTGCTGCACTGAAATTCAGTAAATCCTCTCCCTCAAAAAAAATAAAAATAAACCACTAGAAAAGAGTTTGTGTCCCCAAAACAATGGTCGGACTCCAGGATAAAAACATGACAATCTGCAGACATTTTGATCAGTCAGATGAATTGCATCAGAGACGTATTTAATAAGTTGTGTCAAACAAAATTTGTTGAATGATTAATAGAAGACATTATAATATATTTTCAAGCCATGAAGTATGAGGCTCACATTTTTTAACAAGTCAAATTTTGATTCAGACATTCACGTCCGCCACAGGATAAAATGTGTGATTCAGGGGATTTTTTTAGAGCCAACGCACTGGATTATACCAAAGACTGTAAATAAAGATGGACGACCCACTTCCACCTTCTTCCACTATCCAGCAATGAGGCCAAAGAATCCCGGCTACAATTGCTGCCATGTTGCACATTTAAAACTCGAGTCTGCACAGTAGATCACAAAGTGGTGTAGCGCAGTACTTGGACATACTGTACATCACTGTGATAAAAACTGGACATCTTAGAAACCATCTTTGATAAAAAAAAAAAAAGTATTTGATGTATTTTTTGACTTTTTAGTTTTTATTCTCATCCAGCATGGAGGACGTGAGGTTTACCTATACACAGTCAGCCACCAGGTGGCGATCAATATGCTTTGGCTTCAGTTATGGGGATGGTCATGTTGTCCATCTTTATACAGTCAATACTTTGTACCTGCAAGTCAAATAACATTCCCACTAGCTTCAGCTGTACTTGTGTTGAGTGCTAATCAGCAAATGCTACCACACTAAACTAGAATAGTGATCATGGTAAATCTTATACCTGCTAACATGTCTATGTTCATACATGGTGAGTATATTAGCATGCTAATGTTGGCATTGATCTCAAATCTCTGTACCTAAGAACAGCATAGTTCACCAAGGTGCTAGCGCCACTGTCTTTGTATTGTGATGGGAACCTTTTCCTGACATTGCTTTAAAGAAAAATACAAATCAAGTTTCAGTTTGTTGTTCATGCAGTTGATCGTGTGTCCTTTTTGTTTGGCAGGGGATTATTTTTCCTCAGATGTACACCGCAGCAGTGGCAAACATTTTAAACTTAGGGTTCAATTACGTCTTAATCTTCAGCCTCCAGTTGGGCGTCATGTAAGTGCTGCCTCTCATTGACTTTTCCATGACCAATGAAATGTAGTAGTTAAGCATTTAGAGAAACTCTGTCGCTCCTCTGATCATTTTACTATTGGAAGGAGAGGTCTTGCAGGTGACTTTGGAAAGAAGTGGGCTTGTTGATCTGAGAAGAATCTGATCAAATCGAGTCAGTCCGACACTGAAGTTTATTATCTTTACTTTATTTAGAGAGGGAGTCTGAGTAAAGAAAGGAGGGTGAGCTTTGACAGGAGTGGATCAAAGTCCAGTTGGACAAACATTTGATTCATTGAACCGTTTGGGCCTCTGTGTTTTTTCCTGTTTTAAACGATCAGACCCTCAAACATGAAGTGTGCTCAAACCACAATAACTTCAACTGTATAAGTGCTGATGTCCTATGACTCTTTCCTTCCCTCTATCTTTGCCTGAAGAGAGGGATGGAGTCACAGCTACATGTCACCAGACACCTCTCCAATTTGTAAAGATGTTCTGCTGTTTGTTTTTGCAGAGGATCAGCGATCGCCAACAGCCTCTCTCAAATCTCCCTCTGCCTGCTGTTGTTTGGCTACATCAGATGGAAGAAGCTCCATCTGCAGACGTGGGGAGGTGAATTCATAAACACAAACAAAGAAGGAATTTACATTCCTAGAAATGCATCTAGGCCAAAAGGCAAAAGAAACGTGTAAGCACTCTGCAGTCATCTGTTGTCCTCTACAGGCCATACTGAGTATGTTTTCTCTCTGTGAAACTATCTGCAGGCTGGTCCACTGACTGTTTGCAGGAGTGGGGTTCCTACATGAAGCTGGCTATTCCCAGTGTGTTTATGATCTGCTTTGAATGGTGGATCTGGGAGATTGGTTCTTTCTTTTCAGGTCAGTGTTTTCTTTAAAATCTGAAAGTTCTGGTTTTGGACTAACATAAAAAATAACGAATCAAAGATTTTGTACAAAAGAAATCTCCAACATTGTCTCCAACAGCAGTAGACAATGTGTTTATTTTAGACTCTGATAAACTAAAATGTGCCATAAAACATCTGTCTCTTTTGACGTATTTCTCTTCCGTCATCAGATTAATAAACCAACACCATAGTAGGAGCAGTTTGATTCCTGTGTTTGATCACTTTCTTCCTGAAGCTTTCAGGCATGATGCTAAAGTTTCTGTTAATTTTCTGAATTTGACCTTTATCATATCAGGTGTACTTGGTGAGATGGATCTTGCTGCCCAGCATATTATGGATGAAATAGGAAGCATAATATATATGGTATGTATATTCCATTACTTTATCATTGAACAATAATTCAGCATTTATTTACTGTTGATAAGAAAATAGATTTCCCTCCTGTAATGACCTAGATCTGTGGAGCCAGTCAATTTATCTTAGCTTAAACCTCACACAAGATGTTTTTAAATTTCTGTTTGTCTGAAGACTTATCCACATGACTTGACAGTGCTGATCTTTTTTTTTTCAAACTCTCTGGAAGAATAAACTTGTAAAATTGTTTCCTGAATATAAATGACACTGAAGCTGGGTCTTTGCAGTTCCCCATGGGTCTTCACGCAGCTGCATGTGTGCGAGTTGGCAATGCTCTGGGGGCTGGAGACACCGCCAGCGCTATAGTCACCTGCAAAGTGACCCTGGTTCTATCAGGTATGAAGAGACACAATTCTAATATGGCCAGGTGTATAATTTCTAATAATACAGTTAAAACAGACACCTCCTTGCTTTCAGACATGCACAAGTCCAAACATTTTCCTGAAATTTTCCGCAGTGGCTGAATGTGAGAACGCAAAAGTTTGAATCAGTTGCTCTGGTCATTTTTCCAGAACATATCCTGCCAGCCAGTGAGTAAAATGTTTAGAAAATGTCAGAGTGCAGGAGAATGTCCGGTGCCATACACCATCAACACACTGGCAAAGATAAGGCCAAAGTCGCCAAAGTCGATATGCCGTCAACAGAAATGGGTGCTTTCCTCACTGGAATTCATAACTTATATCTCCTGCATGCTCTCCTCAGAAGTCACCCTTCACCTGAATGTTCCTGTTGTTGTGAACACGTCTGACCCCAATCTCTTGCTGCGTGCGTTCTTCATAACTGAAGGGGAACATTTCCTGACCAAATTTTCTGGACATTTTCTGGAGTTCATGTCTGAAAATGGCTTGAGTTAAAGATCTCAGATTATACTGCATGTGCACTATACCAACATACAGAAATACAGTGCACACCAATGCAACCAGATAAGTTTAATATGAATCAAGAGGTCTTACATATCATATATAATGCGTTTGCTACAGGACTGCTTGCCGTGCTCCAGGGTATCTTCATTGCTGGCTGTAAGCCCTTCATTGCCTACATATTTACCTCTGACGAGTGAGTTTCACACCAACATTCATTCAGTTCTGCACCATGTGAAGACAACTCTGTTTTCTGATGATCTTCTACTGTTTGCAGCAACATTGTGGCGATTGTCTCAGAGAGCCTCACGGTCTACATATTTCTACAGTTCTTTGATGCACTCCTGGTACGTTAGTACAGAACACAACAACTGATCTTTCCTAATTAGTAAGCCCTCATGTTGAGTAGCACACATTCAGCTGTTTACTACATTGGTTCACTCTGTGTTTGTGTTTTCAGTGCGTCTGCTCAGGGATTCTTGTTGGATCTGGGATGCAAAAAATCGCTGCCTTGTCCAACCTGGTGGGTTACTACTGCATCGGCCTGCCAGTGGGAGTAGCTCTGATGTTTGCTGCCCAGCTCAGAATATTAGGTAATATTCACTCCATCTGTTTCTGCAAATAAGCTATACTGGAAATTCAAAGTGAGCTGTTAAATACTGAGATTTTACACCAAACCCTTTTCAGGCTCAGGATCCCGGTTTCTGAACATTTTAATCTACAATCACCAATGATTGTACTTCTTAATTCAGATTTGTGTACATCTTCTCAAACTCGTGCAACAACATGGTTGTGCAATCATGATGCTGCACAGCTTTTTGCAATCTGATGACCAACAATTGTTTAAACATATTTTAATTGTATTAACGTTTTTGCATCTCCATTTTACATAATTACATGATAGGTAAGTTTAAATATCAACACTAATTTAAGTTCAGTCAGAAAATCATGTTCAAATGTTGCAACAGTAGCACAGGTTAGTGATGGCGTCTAGGCTCCGACTTAATCACTCTCCCAGATATTATTACATAGATATGACAGGAGTGATAAGCAAATATTTATAACCCCCGTTAGAGCCTACAGGTGGATGCTGGGGTGGTGGAGGGGCTAAAGCAACTGGCAGCAATTCTGACACAGCAGCGGGGCAAGCAAAGGGAGTGATTGGTAAAATCATCTGCTTATATATACCACCTAATAAGGTGGGTGTGTATTATCGATGATTGTGGAGAGTGAGGTATGTCACATGATGTATGTCACATGATGTATGTCACATGATGTATGTCACATGATGTATGTCACATGATGTATGTCACATGATTGGAGCAGCGCAGCTCGAGTTGGCTGCCTGAACTAGCTCGCAAGCGTCGCTCCATTAAGTTAGGTAAACGTTTCACACAAACATAATTTTACTCTTGAATGCAACAGCTGTCAGTGATCAGCAAGGGCATTTCCTTGAACGACACAGACTTTGACTTGGTCATGAATATTTGTTGTATCGTCTAATGAGCACAGCACCCTGGAAGTACGACAGCAGATGTTTGAAATAAGGAAGTGTGTCTATATTTGAATAGGAGTTCATTAGTTAAGCTCACACGCACACACACACAAACACGCACGCACGCACACACGCACGCACGCACGCACATACACACACACACACACACAAACACACCCCCCCAAAGTGCGTTAAAGCTCTGACCTTGTGAGGTAAAACTAATGATATTTATTAATGCTAATTAATAACAAGTGAGAGTGGTAAACACTGGAGATATTTACTTAAATCATCTGTATTTGTGTGTTTCTCCTGTTAGGCCTGTGGCTGGGTCTCCTATTATGTGTTCTCTTTCAGACGGGTTTCTTTCTCACTCTCATCTTCAAACTAAACTGGAAGAAAGTCACACAAAAGGTAGGATCTTCTTATCATCCTGTAAAACGAATTTCACATCTAGACAAATGGGATCAACTGAAATGGCTGAATTTTCTATGGCCACTAGGCGGCAGTCCCATCACTAAATTGTTACGTCCTTACAGCACTTCCCTGTAGCAACTGAATATGTCAGAGATTTTGTTTTGTTTAATTTTTGTTTATCATATTAATCATATTTCATTATATTAATCTAAAGTCTACATGTTTTGTGTGCACACATGCACACTCAAAAATGTCACAAATGAATCATAATAAAGGCTTTTGCAAGGAAAAGCAGATATTATGGGTAACAAATGAAACCTCTGAAAGAGATTTGATTGTTTTTTCTACCTTCAAAAAAATGTTAATGTAAAATTCAATGTGATTTCAGGCTCAAAAGCGAGCTGGAAAGAAAGTGGTGGTGAAACCAAAACAGCCGGTGGGTACAGTGCTGAGTGAAGCTGTGGTGCCTGACGTGTCTGACAGCATTAACAAAGTAAGAGCACATGTAGATTGTTTTCAATTCTTTGTATGCGTGTGTTTTATGCAAACTGAGTAATAGCAACATCTTTGCACCCTGAAGGCCCAGTCGAACGGTGAAGTCGGCTCAGATGGCTACAGTCCAGTTAACACCCAGGATCAGGAGCTAAAAGCAGGTCATGAGGCCGAGGGCAACAACACTGACGCGGGGGGCACTGATGGGGACGCTGAGAAGAGCAAACACACTTCAAACACCAAAACTCAAGAGCTACTTTCTTTCACTCAGCTGATCTTGCGTCGGGGACTCGTATTTTTGGTTTCAGGTCTTACTCTGGTTATAGGTATTGTTTTTCACATCGTGTTCCCTGGACCAGAGCCCCCCGCTCAGAGCATGTCCAACTTCACCCTGAACTGGGTCAATGTCTCCACTCCTACACCGTGGGCTCCTCTGGACCTGACCCCGACCCTCTGAGCCGACTTTCACCTCTGAATGTAGCAGATCTGACAAACCGAAAATACACAACTAGAAAGAAAAAGGGTTGAATTTTTCCCAAAATGATAACTCAGGTTGTCATTTTGGGAAACTTCAGCTCCACAGGGGCTGCAGAACTCTTTTACGCACAGAGAAAAAGATGTGTCAGTTCTGCACTGCTGAGAAATACCACAGAAGTAGCCGAGGAAATATCAAGAGAGACTGCGACTGACAGTTTGAACAAAGGTCTTGTTACAGAGATCATGTTTTAACTTGCTCAGCCTGAGATGCTCAACCGGGACAAGAGGACACATCAGTTATAAACCTGTCACTAAGAGACCATGTGGGAATTGAGGAACACATTTTTTTCCACTGACACTATTCTTGTCTCGATTCAAATATTGCACTGTGACATATACTCTCTTAAATCATTTTCTTGTGTTTTAACTTTTGATAGATTTTAAATATCCAATGTACCATTTACATACTCTCTATGCTCCTTTTCTTTTGTCAATGTTATATCTTTAGAACACAGGTGTTTGATAAATAATAAGATAGTTCTTTTTACTGTATATTTTGGGCCAATGATGTAATGCACTTTGATCACAAGCTAATCAATAAAACTTATTTTAAAAGTGTGTGACAGTATAAAGAATACAAAGGTATGTTTGGGTATCAGCTCCAAAAACACAATATATCAATACACCAAGACATTTGCATTAAATAGCTTGAACTTCTATTTTCTAAATTGTAAATATGCAGATACGAAGGACAGATTAAAAATACAACACAAATTATTGAGGCCCTGCTGTTGGCATCATAGTGTCCAACAACCAGAAAATGCAAATTTTTGATTAACTGCAGCCAGAACTTGATTAAATTCCAGTTGTCATTGTATCACGTAGCAACAAAACCCAGAAGTTAATATGAGATTCCTTGAGCTACTGCATCACAAGTTGTCGTTGTATAACACTGACAGGAGATCTTTACACAGCCACTTGTTAATGACGCCACAGCATGTTACTGATTGCAGCCTCTGGAGGTGAGCAGGCCAAGATTACAGTCTCTGTGAGGAGCCGGTCTCTGTGAGGCAGTGTCTCCACTGATGAGCAAGACTGAGGCTCAGACAACAATTTAACCATGTATGAATCAAGCCTTATTTAAATGTTAAATAATGAACAATTAATATGCAGCTTCTTATGTGACTGCTGCCGACATCAATCTGTTGCAATCCAGTTCTGGTGTCAGTTTGGGGACGAGAGCACTGGCCTGTGGGTGCACTGGCTTAAAACCAGATACCTCTAAACCTATAAAGCTCTTCTTGAGTTAACAGCTGTTGAAATGAATAAACCAGAAAACATACTGCACTAAGGTTATTGTGCATTCCCATGCTGCTTCGAAGTCAGAATGTTAAAAAGAGATGGACGCTGTACACAAAATGTGTTGCATTTATTTTGTTTAAAGTGTTTAAACAAAACCTCGACACCTCATTATTTACATAGTGATGAAGAGCAAAGCAAAAAGGATCCGGTATAACAGACAGAGAAATCATTTAAAATGTGAATGTTGCATTGGATTAAAAAGTGGTGTTAGGTTGCTTGTGAAAGACGGACATACAGTGACAAAATTAACAATTTAACAAGTTCACATTAAAAGCTAATATTTTAGAGCTGACTGTGAAATCATGTTAATTGGCTTATAAGTGATGACGTCAGCGATTCGTGTATCAAATTCACCAACATATTCCATCTTGAGTCTGCGCTAAAGTGAATTTGTCCAGTCAGAAACTATTTTTTCCAAATGTTCCGACATCGAATGAACACACATTTCCTCCTTGAAAGAACAAAGTCCCTTGAGAAGACCGTGGCCTAAATTAAAATATGACTGGACTAAATATTTATTCAGTCAGCTGATTATTTTTGAAGACACATAAAAGGGAACAGATTTTAAATAACAGGTCAACATTTGACACGATGTGATTGGAGAAAATGAACAAGCATATTTTTAAAAATATAAAGCAGCTTTAAAAGATCTGTGCTATAATAACAACAATGGTGATTTTCAGAAAAATCCCACGTGGTTAATAGGTTGCTTATTTGCAGGACTGAATTCTTTATTTCCGAGTGAGCCATATAAGCTTTAGCTGCACAGAGGAGGCTGATTGGCTCAGTCTGACGTGTCTCCATCCAGCAGGCTTGTTGAAGCGAGAGCGTACAGACGTTTCATTATCATCAAATTTGGCGATGTAGATCAAAGCGAATGAAAAATAAACTGAAGGAAAAGAGCAGCTCTTCTGTGTTTGATGATGAAAACACACCCACAGACGCGCTGTACCCTAAATATAGCATCTAATCATCCTTATTCTAATTGTGGCATTTATTCTGTCTATATACTGCAGGATGAGGACATATATTCCGTCAGTGTCTTGACTGGAGAGACCTTCTTACGCAGCATGTCTCTTTATTCTAAAGGAGACATGTCTTAACAGCATTTGTTCATTTCAGCTTGTGTTTTGATCATTTAGATTTTACAAGTGATGACAAATGTAACAGCTGCAAAAGTGAGTGGTTGAACTGTTGAATAGATTCATTTATAGATTTAGAAATATGAATGAGGGAAAGAGTGAATGAACTTTTCAAGTTCCCAACTAAACACGAACATACTCTATGTCTGTAATCTGAAAGGCAGAATCTCAGTGCTTTGATTGGTGCTGCATGTACGTGGTCACTCGTCTAATTGGAGCGATCTGACAAGCATCTCACTGATGCAGACTCCAGCAGCGAGGATGATGAACATGAACAGTACAGTGAGCCCACGTCGCACCACCAGCTGCCTGACTGACAGAGCCACGTTGTCGTGTGAGGTTTGCTGACCTTCACCGAGTGCCTCCAACCTCCCCTCTGCTGGACTCAAAGAACTGGATCCACACGTCTTTATGTGGGTCTGGTTTTCACCAGAGTCCTGGGCTGTGAGACAGAGATTTTAAAAATGGTAAAGGCTGTTTGTGCAATAGTTTTCACAAAGAAGTCCACATGTTGATGGCGTGTGTTTACCATTATTTTCTATCCCAAAGATCTTGTTCCGCTCTGTCATGTGGACTCCTGCTCTTACCAGTGCCTGTTCAGAGATATTCAAAATAACTGGATACATTTTTTGAGTCATTTAAAAAACCAAATATGAGAATGACAAACAAAGAGTGGGTATAGACGTGTTACATGGACAACAGTGTTCTGTTATTTACCAGATTAATACAGTCTGAATAAGATGCCATGTAAACAGCTTATTCTGATGAACTGAATAAGGTCATGAGGCAATAACAACTCCATGTAAGTGTAAAACTACTTGGCAATAAACCCGACAAGTAAAAAGAAACAGCAGCAAATAAGAAAGTACAATGAAATAAAAAACAGAATAACAAATAAGAAAATATATGAGCAAAGAAGAAAACATAAGAAATCACAAAACGTAACAGCATAATCTTCAGTGGAGGAGTCGGGTACTTATTATGGACAAAGCTCATCGCTGATTGGATGGACGCATGGTTTGTATTTAGGATTTAACAGATTTGCCATTGTACAATTGGTCGTTGTGTTTTCTTATTAGCTGTTATCCACCGTACAAAAGGTACATTGTGCATTAAACAATTTCAAGTTAAAATGACGTAGAGGACGTGATTATGACGGGTCATAAAAAAAACTATGCTCTGTAACATGTGATCAGGAATATGAATGGAATATTCTATAAGCAACAGAATAATGAATAATAATCAGAATGAGGTCAATAGTCAGAATATTGCTGTGCATGTGAATGTTTTCTATAAATATATCGATATCTGGTTATTCATTGGATCAGATGCAGAGTTACTCACCTCCTCAGTGGCTTTCTTCCAGTTTAGTTTGCACAGGAAAACTATAAAGAACGTGGACTGTATCACAACACAGATTAGAAACCCTGACCACAACCCTGCAACACAGACAGAAAGAGGAACGTTTATTAGTTCAAATGGACAAAATACAGCTAGAGTGTGACTTACTTGTGTCATCTTGTCTCACCTACTATCCCCATTTTGACAGGGAACATTAAAGACACTCCAATAGGGAACCCGATGAAGTAGTAACCCACCAGGTTACACACAGCACCAATCATTTGCTTCCCTGCTCCCCTGACAATACCTCCTGTCACACCCTGTAGAGGCAAAACGAAGAGAAATCTAAAAATCTGTGCTGAGAAGTCAGGTTTCTGTGGCTCAGTGGAATATCATGACCTTTAAAGTAAAAAGTCTCACCGCAAAGGCTTCAGCAACATGGATGAAACCGTACATCTGCATGATATCAGCCACCCTTTGAATAATGTCTCTTAAAGTAAAAATACAGATATGAGAATCAAATACCAACTTAGACAAGTGAGAGCAAAGTTATTTGAAATGTGTTTTTGCTTCAATGAAATAACTTGCATCTACTATGTGTAAGATGGCGACAAAACAAACTGCAAGCTTACTTTGCTGGTTAATATTACATGAGGCTGTTAGTTATTGTTTTTCAGCTAAGAATAAGCAAACCTACGAATGTTACACAAGTGTCAGTATCGGCACATACTCCTCTGTAGTGAAAATGTAACCAATCACATCCTTAGAAGCACCAAGACAGGCTCCTATGAAACATGAGACGATGGCTGGGTATTGGAAACACAGCATGTTATTCAGGAGCAGTGGACAACATATCAGAGCATCAGGCAGAATATTTAAAAATAAAAGATTTTTGGTGAATAAGGTAGTAGATCAGAACAACACCACTTGACACATTTGGCTATATACAGTTTGTTAAGCTACATATGAAGTTCATACATGCACAGATGACGGAGACCTTGCCGGACAGTTTGGCTTGTTCTGTGTTCCCAGAACCGAGAGCATTTCCAACCCGAACACTGGCAGCAACAGAGAAACCCATTGGAAACTGCGGGACAGGATGATACCAATGAAAACACTGTAACTTCCACAAAAAACCCACAAATCTCACTTTAGCATGTTCCAAAGAAAACAAGAAAAAGCCTCAAGTTAAGTTTCAGTACAAATAATGTGGAGGAGTTACCATGTAAGCGATGGCAGCCAGCTCATAAACAATAGACTGAGCCCCTAACTCAACCTCACTGATGACGCCTGCCAGGAACCCTGCAATCTCATAGAGCCACCACTCCAGACAATGCATCAGCATGCTGGGGACGGCCAGGTGGAGGAAAGACCCCCACTCCTGCAGACAGTCTCGGGACCAGCCTGGGAGATTATAGGAGGTATGAGGGATTCATTGAAATGTGGTTATACCTGTTATTAAATGTGATGCTGCAATTTCAGTGGGAGGATAAAAAATATTTAATTACTCTCACGCTCTACTACAGACCTGTAATAGTTTTTAATTTGGGGGGAAATTTGGAAGTCAATTGGCAGTCATTATAGATAAAATAGAGATCGTAATAATATCTGTACAAGTTCAGTGAAGTCAAATTAATTACGAAGCTAGGGAGTCTTTTTTTAAATGCAGCTGAACGTCATGAAATGTGAATTTCATCTACAGGCAGGTGGAAAAGTTAACACGTCAGAAAACTACAGATTCACATCTATTAATTGAATCTCAAATTTAATACAAAAGTCCTGAAATAAACTCTGCATTCATGAAAGTTGGAGCTTTAGTCCATTACACAGATAATTATTTCTGTAAATGATGTAAATGGGGTGGACAAAATAAATCCTGTCAGCATTGTGCAACACTTTTCATGAGCAACTGAGTGTACATTTAGTTTAATGGAGCATTTTCATTCAAATCGAGCAGTTATTTCACAGTAATCCATCTGACTACATTAAATGAAATAAAAGTCATACTGTGTTAGTCTCCATTTTTATACAATCAGCCTCAATATTTGTTCCAGAACTCTGTCAAGAAGTATTTGGGTAATAAAAAGTCATCCCCACTCTATTAGAGTAGGTTAATATCCTAAACTTACCGTCCCATGTAGTTTTGTGCAAGCCTCTGGCGCAGATATACACAAACAAGAACACAGCCAGGGAATACTGAGAGATGGCATTGGCAGCAGCAGATCCACTTTGGAGGATTAAAGAAAAAGTAGAACATTAAAATCTATACTCATAAATTAATCCTAAAATCATTTCTTCAGTTGACTGTTAAAATTGCTAATCAACATAATAATCTATGCATCCTTACTCTGATTGACTGATTAGTTTCAAATATTAAAGATTATAATAATAATAATAACTTTATTTGTATAGCGCTTTTTAATACAAGTAACAAAGTATTTTACAACATAGTGTGAAAGTCACAGACTAAAAAATGATAAAATGTAATAATGATACAGATAATAAAAGTCATGCACATCATGTGATAAAAGCTTTTCTTTCGAGTTGTGTCTTAAGAAGAGAGATTAAACAGGAAACCAATTCTGTCAGTCTTATCACTTCAGGCAGATTGTTCCAAATTGTAGGGCCCCCCAGGGGCCCTGGCAAAGGCCCTGTGTCCTTTGGTTTTCAGCCTAGATTTTGGAATGGCTAGCAACCTGCATATTGGCTCGTATAGGGGGATAAAAGTATTGAAATATAGGGAGTGTAATGTTAGGATCTATTATGGGTCTATACTTACAAGACCCCCAAGTCGAGAAGATTGAGGAAGACATAGTTGATTACTGCATTTAAAACATTCCCCACGGCTCCACATATCACCTGTGGCCACATGATGCCCTGTGAACCAGAGCGAGCTGTTTAAAACACAACAGTGCACCTGCTGTTTGTTCCTTTCTCACTGTGTCCAACACACACAAACACACACACACAAAACCATCTAGTTACAGACAAACTTTCAGTCTTACACAGATACTGAACGCACCTGATTCTGAAGATACCTCCCCTGCAGCTGGTACATGAAGGCAGCCTGCAGAAACCAACATGATGCAATGAATGGGATTGATTAGATTAATAATGCAACACAACAACCATTCACTACAGATACAAAAAATTAACATGGAGGAAGCTGAACTCACTGGCAGAGCCGGCATAAAGATCTTCACATACAGCTGTGAGAGTCTTTATGTCAGATAGAAAAAAGGAAAATGATAAATAAGTGCAAAAATAAAACTGAAGAGCTCATGAGCAATAAGCGTATATGTAGCATCTGAAGTAGCATCTGTGACGCATTGATGTGGAAGAGGAAAGTGTTCACCTGGCGACCTCTGCGCTCTGCCTGACAGCCAGCAAAATGGGCTGAGTGTTAATGAGCACGGCCCAGCAGGGGAAACAGGCCAAGAGCAGAATCAACACTCCCCGCTGGACTATCACCCCTACACGCTTCAGGTTACCGCTCCCATAAGTCTGCACGAAATGGGTCAGAGAAACAGGAAAATAAAGTAATACCTGCTCATGTGCAAGGAACAAAGAGCAACACTGGCCCAGGGAAACAGATGTGAAAGAGCATATTGTGAAAACAGCAGCATCTGGTCGGGTCTGACCTGGTTGTATAAATAAGATGAGTGGAATACCTGAGATATGAGTGTATCACATGCTGATGCCAAACCACAGCCAATGGAAATACCTGTGACATTTATTACCTGTAGTGAGATTAAATATCAATGTTAAATTTCATATTCATGTAAAGACATCAAGTAAAACACACTCAAATAAGTAAATGAATATGAATAACACAAATTTAAAAGCAGTGCTATATGAAAGAGAATGAGCAGTGGTCCTCGCTAATAAAAACAGAAGCATGTGTCGCTCACCGCTATCGCTAAAGCCACGCCGGCCAGCTCCGTTTTCCCCAGGTGACCACAGAACACCATGCTGACAAAGCCGATCAGGAAGCTCATCAACTGGGAAATAAACTGGGGCACAAAAACATGGTCCCTGTATTTAATCACCATAAAAACATGAATGAACTTCAACAAAAATGAATGAAACTTTACACGTTTGCACAAGTTGTTATTCATAAAAAGAAAAATCATTGTTTCAAAGGTAAGGAGGTAAGAAAATGTTCATATTTGCTGACAAGTCTGCTTTGGTTTTTCTCTTAACATCTTCACTACTTCTCTTTTCTTCTTTGGAAAATGGTTCTAATGATCACAGGTGTTGGTGTTTGACAACCTTATCAAATGGAAACTTGCACAAACAGAGGTTTCTGTTGAGGAGACACTTGCAAATGCACCTTATTTCGAAGGGATATTGAAATAAATTAGTTTTAGCTAATACTTGCTAAAAGAAATTGACACACAAGTCTATAAATGTGGGATTATTAGAGAAATCTGATATTCAGCTGTGATTTGATTAATTTCATTATAAGACTTTCAAATTAAAAGCAACTCAAAATGGCATGCTTTTATTTTGGTAATAAATGGCATGTGTAACAAACCACTTATAACTATTGCTGGTTGTAGAAATATGCAGTCCTAACAGCCTCAATGAGAAAATATTTCCCATGTTCCCATGTCTAAAAGTGATTCACACTCAGTCTTTCTGAATATTGCAGCAGACTGACATCTCCCAGCTTTGAAAATGTAAAGTCTGGTGGAGTAAAATCACACTCAACTTGTCAACTTTGTCATCCAAACACAATCTTACCACAGGTCCTGCCAGTTTTAAAAACTGAACAGTCTCAATCTTGTAGTCCACAGGTATCCAGAGCTTGATCCCTCTCAGGCAGGATCCGCAGCATGAGTCAACCCTGTGAGCAGCGGCAGCCGCAGCGGGAGGTGATCTGTCTTTTTTGGACTGTCCATTTACTTGCTTATATGACTTTTCTGTTGTTAAATCTTCCATTCTGAAATGAGCTTTTGGAGGAAAACAGAACTCAGTCTTGAAAACTGACTGATGTTCGTACAGTACAATTCCCCATAGACACAGGACAAAAAGGCAGGGAGTAATCAATAACCAATTACCTGGGTAATAATGAATAACCAAGGCCTGCAGAGCCTGCCCACTGAGCTCTCTGTCTGTGAGATACTGGGCAGATACTGTACGCTATAAGTCAGATCTCTCCGCCCCCAACCCACCAAAGAGCTGTGCACTGTAAACGCTGCCAAAACAGAGCTGGTCGTTTTTCTCTCGGCTGCCAAAATTGAAAAGGATTGAATGTTTTCAGTAGAAGTATAAAAAAATCTGCAGTTAATACAAAACTGTATGAGCAGCAGCACATTCATACTGACATTAACAGGGCATTGATGGGAGGTGGAAGTTATGATGGCAACAATTTATTACTGTGGAGAGGAAAGGTGTTAAAAGGTGATCTCCATAACTCCTGTAAAAGTCTCCCACCGCTTCAAAGTTACATTTTGCTTCTGGTCTATAAAGCTCTAAATGGCCCCCTGAATGTGCCGTATGTCTGAAATATTCAGGCAGATCCCCCAGGTCCCAGGACAACCCTCCTCTCCAAACTCCAATAGATCATTTCAAATCAGGCGCCGGAGCATTCATTGCCTGGCTTTTAAAGAGAATGGAAGGTGGCAGTCTGGATGGTTTATTGAATGTTACGCCCATATCCCACCCAGGATAAATCAAGATTGTGAATCTTTGGCATGATGACAAGTTTTTCTTCTGTCAAACAAGCAAAAGTGGATTTGAAAGCATAGTAATTGCACCTGAGGCCATGCACTTAGATCTTTAAAACATTTGTAAAACTTAACAGACTTGGGTTTTCCCCCACATTGAGGTAAATCACTGTAAAACAACACACACACGCTCATATCCACTACTTCCATCAGTGATGTGCTCCTCTCTGTTGTGGCTATGAGAAGCTCCCATCGAGTGGTGCTGTTTTGCCCCTGTTAAAATACAAACGCTGCTTCATCTAGGTTTGACCAGCTTACACAGCCGTGCAACACTGCGACACGCCGTAGAACATACTGTCAAACGCTTGGTTGATTTCTGCAGTTTCACCTGCATTGATCGCCTCGAGGGTCAGAAGGACAAGAGGAGAACAGGAAGGAGAAAGGGAAATTAACGGAGGCCAACAGGAGAGGAAGGGGGTGACACCTAGTGTAGGCTTTCATTCATTTTGCTGGTTCAGTGATGCAGCAAGGCCCACTGAGTCCACCCACCCACCAAATTGTATTCCTCTGGCTCCCCCATTCCATCCGCACACACACGTAAATATGTTCCACCAACCAGAGGGGCTGGCGTCCGCTGTGACGTCACACTGCAGTTCTTCTCGGGCTCCACTGGATGACAGTGGCAAGTCACCACTTACACATGACGAGCCGTCATTCTTAACGGGGACTGCTTCAAGAGTGTGTGTGTACGTGAGTGCATTTGTATACGCATTTGTGTCGGTGTGCGTGTGCACCTGGGGTGGGGTTTGCGCCGGATGGGCAGTGATGGGGTATTGAGGAGGTGGAGAAGGTTTATTGGAGGGGGGGGGGTAGGCAGGTTGATGGAGGTGTAGGCGGCGGGGGAGGGCAGTAAAAAATCGCAAATGAGAGGAAATTGTTTTGAGTCACAGCAGATTTGGTGGAGTGAGATAAGGGCTGATGACGGTGGTGGTGGTGTGATTAGGATTAGGGTGGGTGGGTGGGTGGGGGGTGGGGGGGTTAAGGGTTTGGAGAGCATAGAAGGTGGTGATGATGGTGGCGGGGGTGGCAATGAGGGGGTGAGCTTGTGTGTGTAGGAAGGTTTTGGGAGGGGTTCGAGTATTTTCAAGCATAGTGTCAAAGTGTGTGTGTGTTGGGTGTGCGTTTATCTGTGTGTGTGTAGGTTGTGAATCTTTTTTCCTGACTACGAGAGTGGGGAATTGAAAAAAAAGATGAGGAGATGGGTGGTTTAGATAATGGCGGCCAGAGAGAGCAGACGAGGGCAGAGTGTGTCACACAAAAAGATAGACTGCGATGGCACAAGAGAACAAGAGTGGATGAGACAAAAGAAGTGAACATTTAATAGAGAGGCAAAAAAAAGGGGATGAGAGGATGGATGGATGGGAAGGGGGGGCGCTGAAAGAGAGCCAGTGTGATTTTTCGACGTGTTCTCTCCCCTCCTTTGTTGGTTACGTTGTGGGTTGCTTTTGGCGGCGAGCGCTTTAGGGGGTTATGGAGGGAACAATGACGCATAGGCACCCGTCGCATCTGCTCCAGCTGATAATGATGATGTCTAAAAACGATAACAATAATAAGCAGCTTCTTGTGGAACCCTAAAAACCGCTGGCACGTGACACGTACGTCAGAGATTATCACACATGACACACTGCACTAGTGGACACACAGACATGGCTATCTCACGTTGGCAGTGTGTGTGAGGGTGGTCAGGGCGAGACACAAAGAGAGACAGGGGTGGAAATACAGAGGGGAGAGGGGGGGAGAGAGGAAAATGGATTATGCTCGGAGTCTTGTCACCTGCAAACGCTGTGCATTCGCATACAGGATGAACGTATGAGATGTGCGGTGAAGTCAAGAATGACCGCATTCATAGCCACACCAATTGTATGTGAGCAATTTTGTGTAATTTTGCTTTTTCACCAAGGAGAGAGAAAATAAATAAATCAAAGGCAGCCACTCAGAAAAAGACGAACCCTACTGAGAAGGATTATTTTGAAACGTGGCAAAAACCTGAATGAATGAGATGGCGGGAGAGGCGGGGTGGGGGTGGAGGCTGGAGCGTGCGTGTGGGACGAGTGGGCGGGTGGGTTGGTGTCAAACATATTTTCTTTCCTGTTTAAATCCACAATGTGGAGGCCTTCGTTTGAATTTTTGAAGTGTGGACTCATCTCACCAAAACTGACAATGTAGATTAAAAGTAATTCAGCCATGACTAAAGCGGGAGGGGAAAATTTGCAGTCTGCTCTTTTGATGTTGTGTGAAGCTTTTGAATTTCTTCGGTGAGTCATATAGAAATTACTTGAAATAGTCACAGCGATGCCGCGCTCACATTGTGTACTAGGTGATATAAATACACTTCAACTTCATCGTTTTTTGCGAGGAGGGCTGACAAGAGACGGCGGAGGAGAGATATTCTTCTTCTTCCACAACAAATATCAACCGTGACATGCAACATGTAAATGTCGCGTCTCTCAGGTTGTTAGGATAGATTAGGCCTTAATAAATTTCTTGTCTGATCTGCTGAAACAGGCGTCATGGAAGCGCGCCGCAATTCCATTGTTAATTTTACAGAGCTGCCCTAATGCGATGGGCGAGCCTTCTCAAATGCCACCAACCCTGATTCGTCTTCCATGACTCATCCAGCCTCTAAAACAATGCGGCACCGTGCTGTTCCGTCCTTCATGACACACTGTCCTTTCCATTGCACCCTTGATGAAGCTGCGGGTCTGTCCTCAGGGGTTAATGCAAGCAGACAGCACCAAAGGGTGTATCAGGGAGTGCTCGCAAGGACGCGAACAGGAAAACAATCCAGGGAAATATGGTAAATAAACAGGTGTTTGAGGACGTCTTGTATGACTCAGCCTCCCATTAAGCTCGCAGTGTTATTATGTGTGACCGTGTGTTCTGGTGTGGCGTGATGGGGGTCACAGTACAGCATTATACATGACAAACTCATCATGGAAGTGATTCCGTGCTCTGTTGACTCAGAGTGAAGAGGCTCATTGATGTGGCAGCTGGTTGACCTTGGAGAGAAGGCAACCTGTTCCTCTCACATTCAGTTTTTACCCTCGGGAGCTTTTTTCCCTTCTTTTCTTTGTCGTCGGAGGAAGTGAAGCAGGAGATTTACAATCCGACATGAGAGTCACAGGAAAGGAGCGAGACCAGGGCTCACCCACAGTGCATCAGGCCCCATACACACAGCAGCTTGTGACACTTTGAAAGTCCCTCAGCTCTTAATATCGATTCTTACATGTCATGAAGCTGAAAATAACCTGATCTGTTTTTTGGAAATCGATTAAAAACAAAGGAATTATTCTATCGACTCCATCTACACTGGTCATAATATACAGGTTCGATTTTACCTCTTGAAATCGGACTGTAAACTTATACATTAAATCTTACAAATGCATTAACACCAACAAAAAGCTGGGAGGGCAAATCCATAACTGAAGTGTGAATATGACAGAATTTCCATGTGAAGGTACAATGCAAAAAGAGTATTATACTCCATTTAAGATATATAAAATACTGTTGTCTGCTCTGTTTCAGATCCAGATTCAGCTCGACTACAAACTTACAGAACTTCTATAAAACCCTGACTGATCAAAGACCAATCTAAGAAAAACTAGGAATATATATCTTTAAATATATTAAACATTTCTAAAAACTCCATATTTTCACAGTTTTTCCAACGCTCTGAGGAACAAGAGTGTGTTTGTGCTTCTCCATAAAAAAATAATGGCTTGTATGCTGCGACTGTGAAACAAAAATTGAATATTTTAGGCCTTCAACTCATCGCCCTTTATGATTCATATACTGCATCAACGTGAGTAAACATTTATAGATTTAACTGCTGTGAGGCAGCCGTTACTCTGAAGCATTAAACTTAATATCCAGCCGTCATGGCTCTCGAAGTTTCCTGGATTTTACTGTCACAGTTTCCTCATTAAAAGGAAGCATGTGGCAAAACTACGTAATTAAAGATAAAAGATGTGGAGAGCGAAAATATGACATCAGCAGAGTGTCACTGACGCCAGAGGATATTAACATATTGGATGAGAGAGGAGGCTGATGATGATGACGGTAGTAAATAGAAATAAATAGTATGTAACAGTTGCTCAGTTTGTGTGTTTGTTCATTTTTTTTCATTTTATGATTTAGGTTTGTAAGAGTTCTGAAACACACCTACAGTCTAAAATATCTGCTGCACTTGTTTTCTCGTTGGACCCTTTTTGT